AAATAAACGCTTCTATATGCATATGAATATACATACGATACATATTAATAATACTAGAATAACACACTTTACCATTTTTGCCTGTCTTTTTGTAACAGCTTATCTCTGAAATGACTGGACCGATTTTGACCTACTGTACTAAAGAGCAACATAATCTACATTATTTTTATAAAAATGCAAATGAAATTGCAGTTTCAACAATTATTATAAAATAAGTACTCACATCACTACTTATTATCTTGTACCTAATAGCCGTAATAAAACAAAGCCAGTTTTGTTTGTTTCACTAACCTAAGCAAATAAAAGTCCAGAAATCGCTGCTCCAATTAAAATTGGGGACTGTCCATCGAGGAAAGAATGCACCAAATTAAAAATGCTTTTGTTAAAGGACATGGTATTTCGTTTCAATTTGATGCCCCAGTAACGTATTTTACAAAGTCTGTAAAAGAAAATTAAACTTTTTTTCTATGTGATAGAGATTAAAATATACTGCAAAAATAAAAATGCAATGTTAATGCCTACGTCAGTAAATACTTCTTCATAGTAGAATATTACATTATCAGTATTATTACAGAAAGAGTAATTAGCGAATTAAATTTCTTGCTCGTTCTTTTCCATTCGAATCTACAATGATATTTTGGAACGAGCACTTAGCGTCACTGACGGACTGTATTTCGTTGACGTTTCAAAAGTACCAAATAATGGTTTAATTGAATTAAATGCTAAAATAAACATGCTATCTCCAACTTCTGTTAAATCAATCAACGATAGTTTCACAAAAACAGCAGCACATGTATTGTGTTTGAAAAACATTTCCACATACTACAATATTGTCCACGGCTGTCACTGGAGTGTGGTCATAGGCTAGCCGATACGGACAATAGGGTGACCAAAACTGCACACCTCCCATGGTACTTACACACAAGCGGTTGACCCCATCGCGTCCAATATGTGCCTACGTTATTTGGTGTCCTACATTACATCGTCGTTCCGTTGTTACTATTTAGGTAGACTGGATGTGACTAATGATGTTTCTATTAAATTCGTTTATATTATGTCAGTTTTTCTTTTTCAAAATACGTCATAAAAGAATGACATTTTTGAATATGCGTGATATTGATGCGCGAACGTTAAAAGTGGATTACCTACTTACAACCATAATATTGTCACGTGTATGTGAATTTGTATGTTTGTAAACGCACCCACGACACAGGAGAAAATCCTAGTGCAGGGCAACGTTTTAAAAAAAAAGTTTATTTATTTTTCGTCGGAAAAATCCAACAATAATTTTTGCCTTCCCCTGCATTGTACACAATCACTTGACCAATGACGCCATACCCACTAAAAGGCCCTTAACTTCGAATAAATGTCAACCGAATTCAACCCTCGAATGAAAAGATAAATCATACATGTGCCCTTAATATTTGAAAGGTTTTCCTACCAAAATACAGCTCGCATAGTATATTTAAACAAACCACAAACGGTTGAAAGCCAACCCTCTTCATAAACACCGAGGAACCTTTAAATATTCTTGACAGAATGATTTTTCCTTAGGTTTGGGTATCACGTATGAGCCATTACCATTCCTATTTATTTGCAACGGTTCGATTCGACCCGCATCAAGTATCGGCTGCCAACAATGAAGTCACGATCGCACAACACTTTTACGCCGGACTTGTACCTACTTATACTGAAGGGTTTGTTTTGTTTTCGGAAAATAGAATGTTGCCACAAGCTTGTAAATACGTCTAAAAACGATGAAGGAGTATTGATGAAAATGAAATAGTAATGCTACGACGAATAAATCAGTATTATTTGTTGTGATCTGTAATTTTAGTATAGGAAAAATTCAAACTATGCTCAATAAACTGGTTTCTCAATACTCAACTGACGTATTGCCAAGACAAAGATATACAGTGAGGTAGAAAGAGGGGACTAAATATTTCTACAAAATAAAGATGTCCATTCTAAAATCCAACTAAAATAAAATCAGACCAGTCTGGGAAAACTACACACGAAACCAGTTAGTGTTGTATCCGTCAAAGAGATTTCACAGGCTTACTGACGTAAAGTCCAACAAATCTGTGTACTAAAATCTGACCCCAAAAACCTAGAGAACAAAGAAATTGAAAAGAATAAAAATTCACAAGTGAGAATCTTTGAATATAAAGATGGTCATTAAAAAGCTATAAGTTTAGGAACGTCTAGCTTACACGAAGCTGAGAAACTGAGAGAAGCAATCTTTTGTAGAGCGATTCGTATCGATTGAGCAGAATGAGCGTTGGCAAGTGTCCATTTGCGAGCCTTTTGTTATTCGAATTCGTTCCAAAAGTATGTACATGCCGCCACATACAGTGTTTTTGTGGCCGTAGCCAGACCGACGGGATTGAGTTTTTTTGTAAACAGATATAAAGATTCCGCTTCATTCGCAGTTCTTTTACACATCGACGACATAACATCAGGTCAATATTTTTCTAAAAGATTAAGCAAATATGAATTGTATTGTTATTATTTAGTTTGTGTGTTTATGTATTCATGTGCACAGTAATTATTAATTGTTATTATATTTAATAGAATGACCAATTTCATTGTAAAAGATTGAAACACAAAAAGGTCGTTGGCCCGAACCGAATTTTTTAAAGTAACTTCGCTAACGACCACGAGATCAATAGGGCAGTCAGGTAATATAATTTTCTAATAAACTTTTTTGATAATGACGCTACTCGGCTCTCTTTTGCCCCCACTAATTACGACGTAGCCGGTCACCTTTCAGGAAGTAATTAATTTCGTTCGCACCAAAACGTGACCAGAATGCCGAAGAAGAATTTGTGGACAATGTTGACATTCTAGACGAGGTACCGTTAATTATGCCATTCTACGAAGCTTCAGAACCGTGCTGCAATGATTAGGGAATGATTTGAGATGAAGATGATAATTTTACTTTTTAAATCCATTAATAGAATTTTATTTTTAACTTTAAATGAAAGGTCATTGACTCAAAGATTTGCTGGTTCAATTTTAAAAATCAGTTGAGAATTTATTAGTATTAATTTTATCACAAATTTGGTAAACTCCCAATTCTCATAGAGGTTCACCTAGTCCTATAGAATCCATGGTACAGAATCAACTAAATAACTGTATCATATCAACACAGACACACCAGACAAATGCCAATTACAAGAAAGAAGAAAAATCATTTATTTTAGCTACTAAAACGAGGACAGGACGTCATAGAGCTTTTGTTCTAAGTCACACGTCTGCTCACACAAATAAAACAAGCAACTTGCGCCGTAACCACGGTACACTAGTTCAGAAATAAGTTGTACCCGTACCGCAGTTCGTTCTAACTTAGTTCGCCTGGACTTTAGATGTCATTTCACATGGACTGTTTTACACATGTTCAAATTGGATGAAACATATGCAGGTGTATCCTTTTAAAGTTATTTGTGAATTTTGGGTTTGAGTTTAGTAAGCGTTGCACTGGCTGTTTTCAATTTTAACAATAGGAAAAGTAAATGTACCTTCCTCATCAGTTGAATAGTTTCAAGCATTCCTTGGTAGAAGGCCGGCAACGCAAGTGTGATTCCTCTGGTATGGGCGGCGCTGATTGCTTACCATCAGGTGATCCGTTTGCCTTGTACTCAATAAAACAAGCCAATTGGATGGATGGATTTTATTCAAGGTTCGGTTTCTTATGTAATGACATTAACATAATTATGTAATGTGCATAAAATATCGTAAAAAGTAAATGTGCACGTCCACAGTACACACCTTCAAAAGTAACTGCTATGGCTTTATTATCTAGTGACCCATGTAAATGTTGACATTACTTTCACAACGTATTTCCTTTTCATGTTATTCATAGCATTTAATACTTTGTAAGCTTCTTTCAGTTTCCTTGTTTGGAAAAATACATAAAATATTGTCTCCTGCGATACACAGCCATCACGTGTGCACGACATATCGACTAACCCTTATCAAATGTAGACATTATGGAGCCATTCGTCTAGTAAATAAAAAAATGACACGAAAGACAAAACATTTCCTTTTGCTATCATATTTATTTGTACTTCCTTTCCTCTATTATGACGTAACACCGAATTACATGGAGTATATAAAATAAGATGCGGCAAGTACAAATGCTGTAGAGGTATACGTGATATCAAAGATATAAGAAGGTTATAAAGAAAAAAAAGCAATATAGAATGAAAAAAAAAAAATATTTCGCACATTTTAGAAGCAGCTACAAATAACTTTAATGATGGCACGGAAATAAGAAAATTTAGAACATGAAACAGAGCAAGCTAAACAGACAATTCGATGCTAACAATAATGAACATCTCAGTGCATAGTTTAAAACTAACTAAACAGTATCAGGAAACTCAAACAGACGTAGGCGTTCTTGCGCTCAAACAGGATGTAGCACGAACAGTTTCGTCAAACAATATTCAGTATTCTGTGCACACGTAGGAAAATACAATAATTCGAACGTGTCCAACCGATTTGTCGCAATGCAGACTTTGGTTTGGAGAGTTTTCAATATTTCCCTACGCTTAGAATTGAATTTTGTTGACCTATGTTGTTCAATGTTTGACTTTTACGTCGATGGGAACTTACTGTACTAGTTGGCCGCCTACAGTTACCAGCGAAGTTTTATTTCGTTTTTGTTGATGAGAATTTGGCCAGTTGTCAAAATCAGATTGCGGTTGATTCAGTGCGAGAGATTTATTTTGGAATGGAAATACATACCGTAAAATATTGTTTTGCGACACACTCGTAAAATGGAACCGTGACATGCATGACGATTACCGAAAAAATAATAACTCGTCGATTTTGTGTTGCAAACTGAAAAATGTTGTTTGTGTGGAAAGCAAATTACTTTTATACAAATAGGCATTTAGGTACAGGTCTACCAACCTTAAACCTTATGTCTAACATAATTATTAAGAAGACGAACAACTTTCGTTTGAAAAACACTCAAAAATAATTCTTCTTTACAGGGGCTTCTCAGTCGTGGCACCAGAAGTAGCAGTGCCAGGGAAAACAACAGCCATCCTCGTCACTCTTCATGGAAGAGCTGGAGACGAGACCTTGGATCCTCTCAATGTCACTGTTAGGCTTGAAACTCAAGATGCCAATAATGAAGTGAAGCAACTGATTGCTGCCAGTCAGATGATTATGGGTAAGTAGAAAAACAATACATTTGCAGCTCTATGTTAGGTTCTGATAATAGTAAAAGTCATCACACACGTAACCAGCACAACATTTAACGGCTTCAACCCAGCAATTAACTTGTCATGTAAATATGAACTTTAAATTGTATGTCGTAACATATATTTCATAACATCAATATAAACAATATAAGCAATGTAAGCACGCCACCCGTGCGCCGTTAGCGCGCTTACTACCTTTTTGAATTGTTTCCCATTCCAAAGCAAAAAACGCCATGCCGGAACCGTGTCGGTATCGTCTCGGAGGCGTACCGGAGTCGTGCTTATCAAATGTGTTGTAATGACCTTAAAAATGTAAGTTGAATGAATGTAGGGAAGGGTTTAGGAGATTTGAAAGAGATAGGCTTAGGAGCCAATGCGCAACTTCGACACAGGAGAAAATCCTAGTGTGGAGCAACGTTTATTAAAAAGATAAAAAAAAAACTATATCCTTTGAGGAAAGTTCCAAGAAGTTGTGTACTATTATGCTACTTATTCGATATTTTATTTTTCCATCATTGCTTGATATTTACTTGATCTGTAGTATGTAAAATACTTATTCGTTTTATTTAGAAACTTTATACTATAAGGCTTGTTAGATTCTTCAAAGCAACAATACAAATGCTGAATAGGTTGTAAAAAAGTGCGTTTTCCAAAAAAGTTAAAAAGATACATTCTTCTCATTTCATCAATGCATTTCTTTGAACCGAAGAAATCCTTCGTAAATTCTTCTACTGTTAGCTTTATTTAAGTCAATTCTTAGGTTATGACAATTTCTCGTTATTTCAATTTCGCAGCACTCAGCGGCGGTAACGGTAAGGATAAAAAAGTCAATGTTTAAAAGCGTGACTACATAGATTCTGTCTTATTTCTAACAGTGAATAAAAGTGTAAAAAATTCAAATATGTATAAGAAATAACTATAATGTAAATAATGAAATTTACCTTCCTTCACATTTTATAAAAAAGTGGATAATGATATTAGATTGTAACGTAATCATAAACAACAGCAATAATACCCACGAAGGGGCATAATTTAATCAAGGACCCAGAAATACTTCCAATATCCAACGAACAGCCAAAAATAGATATGCACCCACAAATACTGATTATTAACCTTTTTTATTGTTCGATAGAAATGAAAATTGTCGTAAAACGTGATAATAAAATTGGAAACGATTTCTAATATGATTTCGATTCTTCGATCCTGTACAATCGTCCCAGATTCGATAAAGTTATTACTGCTGTAGTAAAAATCTCGTTATGTTCGGCAGACGGCGCTATTGAAAACTGGACTTATTGCCAAATAGATATAAACTGTGTTGAAAGTGCACGTACCCGGAAATATTCTCCTTACAAGTGCCCCGAGTTATTGATATTTCGCCAAATTGTAAGGTAGTTTACGGACTGAAGAAATATTTGCCCGTGAATACTTTGCTGAGCAATATTTTGTTTACTGACAATTTTATCGGAAACTTTGGCATTATTTAATATACGTTTATCTACTGTTGTACAATGTAACACCCGCTTTTCACTATTTATGTTATGATGCCGTACATACATGGGATAATTACGGCATTAAGTGCCGTAATGCGCACCTCTGCCTAACCCCTTCGGGGATAAAAGGCGTGGTGTTATTATGTTATTCAAGTTTACTGTGCTGTTTGTTAAAATACTGTTGAATAAAAATCAATCTCATTTCTTGAGATGTTCACAAATAGACCGACGGGTTACACATAGGTATTTACAAAAAAAGTTACGTTATTCATCAAATTAACTAAATTACTTTTACAAAGGTACACAATACTAAACTTTAAACGAACTTCAAACATTTGCATTTGCCTTCTAAACATCGCTTAATTGCAAAACTCCCGGTAAGATCGTAACAATTTGCTCACGCTTCCGAACCTCATTTAAAGACCTCTATAAAATTTATCTGCCACATAACATTGAACCCACTGAGTAGGGTATAATTGGGGGTTCTGCATCACTTGCTCTCGCTGCGCTCGAGCTGCGTGATGCAAAACGCCCCAATTATACCCTAATGATATTCTAATCTGATCGGTTTTCTGGAAATTTGAATGTGAGCTTAATCATTTATTCGTTGCGCTTCCGTATTATGGTTTTCAGGTTGAGTGACTTCTTCCCAGTCTGTGTGATGCAAAAAAAAAAACCCCTCCAATTATACCGCTTATACAGATTGTAATGTATGGAAGTCATTTTCTTAAAAACGGTTCAAATAGAAGAAATCTCATCTTCCAAATCAAATTGACTCAATTTAAGCGCAATGTGTCATCGTATACACAATTATATTCTAATAGGGTAGATATATCGTATACACAATTATATTCTAATAGGGTAGATATAATTCGACTCGGCGCACAATGCAATAGTGCATATTCTAATAGAGTAATTGTTTCAGACAGTTATTGATATAATTTATTCCTTTCACAGCATTCAAATAAAAACATTGAGGATAATGTATAGCATGTTGCATCCAAGGATCGTCGTAAATCTCCCAATCTTCTATAACACCTCCACATGAGAAACATGCTGCTTTATCATTTACACCGTTTCCAAAATAAAAAAATCCGGCTTCAGCCATTTCCATCACCAACCTTCTCCTTGAATTAGCCGTTGCCCAATAATGTCTAAACGAAATTTCACGCATTTTATACGTATTATAGATGTCATAACGAGGGCTACATTTATTTTGAGACATGGTCTGTTCACTCACTATATAGTTCTTCATACAGATACAGATAAAAATGAAATGATATCGTACTGCTGTAGCCAGCAACTTATGAAGATTATCATTTGATTGGTGGGGGATAGAAGATTTGAAAATTAAACAAGAAAATAATTATTTAAAAAATTTATTATTAATACACCATTTATTTAAGCACAATACATTTTTTAAAGCACATACAGAGTCATGATAAATACAGTTACATAAATCTTGAGAATATTTATATTGATCGTATAAACTTATCAAACTAGGACAGCCTTCATCTTCTAAATTGAATATACTAAAATTACTATTTTCTAAAATATGCTTTAACCATAACACTTTTTCTGAACCTTTGACATAAATATATTTATCTCTTAACAAATCTATAACCAAATTCTGATAATTAGAATAGGGTACAAAACCTTCATGCCAGTGTATCTTTCTGTTACTTTCAATCCAACTAACTTGTTTTTTTTCTTGTTTGGTTAAGTTTTTAAATGGAAAGGGTGGCTTAATTAAAAATACTTGTAATTTTTTATTATACATTATAGCGATTTCTTTTATTATAAATTCATTTGTTTCGGTTTTAAAGCCTTGAATATCAACAATAGCATTCATGATAATCTGCGCACTATGTTGCTGAGAGGTTTGTATTCCACAAGTCGATCATTTATAATCAAACAATATGCAGTTGTCTTATCTGGTATTTGTGTTGAACATTCAAATTCCAATCGTACATCCACTGGACCAGTTTTTAAACTATCGTTTTGCCTCGAGCAGTCTAAAATAAAGACTGGGGCTTTTTCTTTGAAGTCTTGTAGATCAAGTAATGGGTCTACCGGAGAATTGTAATACGACTGACGAAATTTCACATACATTTCATATAATATACTATATTTGTTCTCACAAAACTTTAAAGATAAAGGCTCATAAGGATAATATTGCGAATTTAAAAAGAGCGTCACGTTTGTCACCTCACAATGATCAAACACTGAACTGTCTTTAGTTCTATTATTTTTTCTATTAGTCTGCAAGCAAAAAATTACATACCGAGGCTTTTCTAATTGAGAAGCAGTCTTTACTGACCAAGAATGCTTTGTAGTTTTAGGTAGTAAAGGATACTCATATAAATCCCAATTTCTAAAAGCTATCTGAATAGGTTTATCTCTTTCTAAATACTTTAAAAGTATTAAACGTTCTCGATCTGAAACTTTTATGTGTGGCACTCTCCATTGCACCCTTTGTATATCTATTTGAAACTGAACGACTTCATCAGTAAGAATAACGCTATTTAAGTTAGAATTACTCCTATTCAATATAAGTTCGTGTTTACAATTTATCACAATTTTATTGTAATCCTCGGCAAACCCTAAAATCTTATTTAATGGTACCACAGCACTAAATTGCCCATCACTTTGGAACCCGTTTAAATTCCAACCCCATAATGCAGCAACTTTACTTTCTGCTTCATTTAATGAGATGTAAGACTTTATTGTTGATGTTATTCCGGAATTTTTTATACGATCTATTTCAATTCCATTCATTTCGTATCTGATGTCTTGAAACAAATGCATAATAGGGTTATTAGTGAACGTAACAGTTTTTTTGATTGGGTGCCCATCCTTACCCAACAGCTTTGCCTGACCTTCGATGTAGATTGAACTGGCTGATGGTAGCACGTATATATCTTGCTGATGTATGGGGATTCTGATTTCATCGTTTTCTCTAAAGCTGTTATTGTAGGGATTGTATGAATGGACTTCATAACTCTCGATTGAACTATCGAAGTGTGGTAAATCAGTAATCTGTAGTATACTCATACTTTAAACCCTAAAGCTTTAAGAAAATCTTTATTTGATTTAGTCAATTTCTTCACGTTTTTCTTACGTCTGTGCACCTTAACGGTTGTTGACGAAATAGGACGTTTTATTTTCACTGGAGGGTTTTTATCATATACTATCATTTTGCTTTTCTTAAATGAAGACGTAATTGAATATGTTCTTCACCAAAATCAATACAGTAACCAAACTGATCGACAATTCTGACAGATATGGATGAAATTATATTTTTATTCACTGGGAAGTAAATAATGTTCTGGGGTATTTCTATGTAGCCATGACTTGAAGCAGTATCAGATATGAATTCGTGAATAAAATGAGTCGGTAATCCGTTGTAATATGAACCGTGCACAAGATCACATTCGATTCTGATTACAGCTGTTGAACTGCTGTTAATAGCGGACACATTCGGTCTTGTTTTGAATACTGAAAAGTATAGTAAACCGCACTCGTAATGATCAGATAAATGAAGAGGTGGTTGAAAATACGAGACCAGTTCTGATTTATTTCCTGAGATGGTAACCGTAGTAGACATGCTTGTATACTGAACTCTTTACAATGATCCGGTTTATTTTATTTCTTGATTATACCAAAAATTCTTTAAAAAATTTAAACATAGATGTCCACAATTGAAGGGATGATCACGTTGTAAATTTTCATAATTATATTGAATGTTAGAACCTACATACTTTATAAATTCCTTTGGAGGTTTAAGATTTCCATAACTGTCGAAATATTCAACATAATCATTATGTTTTGCATAGGCTACCCAATGAGAACCAGGATTTTTAGAACTATCTAAATTAATAACTCCGCATTCTTTTTTATACGGATATTTAGGGAGCTCATCTCTCATAAAAACACCTCTAAAATGAGGAATTCTATTTCCATACTTTAGAATGTCAAAGTTAGTTAAGGCCCGTTTGGGTAGCCGATATCTTAGTTTTTTTCTTTTGATACGAAAATTCCAAGGCCATCTTTATGTGGTTTAAGGTGTAGTCCTTTCCCAATACATAGAGCTTCCATTTTTTCATTGTGTCTCCTCGATTCCTCATACAGCTTTTTAGCTATTTTGTATTCATTTATGGTTTTAGCAATACCAGCTGCACCGCCTGCTAAAGCTCCCGCCGCTGACAACCCAGCAAAAATAGGAATCAGAGGTAGTACTCCTCCAGTTTTTGGAATAGGAATAACACGGGGGAGCTTAATCGATGAATCGTCAGCTAATTCTCTGGTAGCGGCAATAGCTAATTCTATAGCCATTTTCTTGCTCTTAGGTTTTAATTTTTTTATGTGTCTTTTTGCTTTTGTAATAACAGTTTTTAATTTACTTTTTAATCCTTTTCCGGATGTAACTTTTGAAGAACGTTTTTTCCTCAAACCAGAACCAGTTTTAATTTTTGCCGACATAGCCTTACTTACTAAGCGTGCCGCAAGTTTTTCACCTGTACTGGCATCGGAAGCAACCGCTCGCTGTTTTGCCATTTTTAACAAAATTAAATCAGCCTTATGTCGCTCTTTCAAGTTTGATGACTTGTGATATGCAATATCGTGATCTTTGCAATATTCATCCAACTTATTTACACCGCTATCTCCTTGTGCAAGTCTTTTTATTAATTTAGTACCAGGACCACAGTAATTATATCCGGGTAAGTGTAATTCAAATGGTAAATTATTAATAAGCCAATTGAGAAGACTGCTCTCTCCAAAACACATTATAAGACTGATGATTCCGGTTTGAATACTTTAATAAATAGTTATGCGATTCGATTTTGTTGTTAATATTATTTTATTTATAATATAACATTCGATTTATCAATCCAACTGTTTTCAGCTGAAGACAAACCTAGCCATTTTACCAAAACTCTGCTACCTTTTCTTCTAAGAACTTTCTCAACTAGATATACATTGGGATGTTTTGTTTTTTGAAGTTCTTGTGTATAAAATGCACCTAAAATAGGCTGACCTCTAATAGTATCTTCTATTATGTAAGTTATAGGAGTTGTATTTTGTATTTTACGAATTTTAAATATTTCTGTTGACCAGTTTGGAGTATAACCTTTTTCAAATGTTCCTTTGTATTTACTGATACGCACATAATCACCTACTTTATACTTGCTTTTTAAATTATCATTTTTTAGCAACTTTAAATACCTTTCTAATATCAGTTTTTTATTATTGTTGTCCACATTAGCAGGGATTTCATTAATAGTGCGATGGTGAGTGTGATTGTATTTGTAAATAATATCATTGAGGGTATTATTTACCCAATTGTAATTGCCTTTTAAACTAAATTCCTTGTAGATTTTAGATTTCAATGTTCTGATGAATCGTTCAACTATTGAAGCCTTTTTTGTTGAGAAGGTTGAATAATGGTTAATATGATACGATGCCGTAAGCTTCTGAAATTTGTTATTATAAAATTCTGCTCCATTATCCGTTTGCAGATTTTTAGGAACACGCCCTTTATTCAATAAAGTTTTGAAAGAGTTACACACATCTTCTTTGGTTTTATTTCTCATAGGAAAGGCCCAAGCATATTTCGAAAATGTGTCAATAACAGCAAGAATATATCTGTAATTTTTATTTTCTTTTGAAATTGATTGCATATCAATTAAGTCTGCTTGCCACAAGTCATCTATATCTTTCATGATAACATGTCTTCGTGGATAGTTCACCCTTGCATTTTTATGAATTTCGTTTACTACGTCAGCTTTGCTCATATTCACAGTTCAGTATATTTGTATTGAATTCAGTTTTAATACTGAATAAAAAGCATAGTATTACAACTATTTATTATTTAATTATGCCAGCTTCTTTTAATTCCTCGATTATTGATAAAATTTCATTATCATGGTTTGTATTACCAGCATCTCGGGAAGCAATTAATAGTTTCAATCTCTCAACGAGTTCGTTAGGATCGTCCCAATATACCAAGTCAGCATCTTTTTTGTATTTCTTTAGCGTTGGTAAGCTTCCCCCAAATTTAGTAACAATATTACTGTTTAACGATTCAGAAAACAATGGTTTGATTATTTCACGATATTTTATACCTTTATCGCCTCTAATTTGTGCATTAGGATTGAAATCTCTCTTATGTGCATTTGTATAATGCAACATATCTTTATAGACAAGTTTATCTTTGCTCGATATTAGTTTTAAATCAGGTTTTTTTCGAAGTAAAAGTTCTTTTAAACCAGGAGTTAAATTGTAGCTTTTGTCACCAACTTTAATTAAAATGACATTATCATCATTCACACTATCAATTTTAGAAAATGAAACTATTGAATTACCCATTAATAATTTTTTGTTTGCACTCCTAATTCCAAAAGGTATATTTATTCCATCATAAATATCATGGATGTCATAGCCCTCTAATGATATTTCTAGATCCTCTAGTAATTTTGTCTGGGGAGACTTTTTATCGAACTGCATAGAATTCAGTTCTGGTTCGTAGCATTCTTCAAACTTTGTAGATGAGCTAGTATTTTTGTCACCCAATTCCATATCTTCAAAATTAAAGCATGTATTTTCAAAATTTTGTTTTTTTTCTATTGTTTTGTTCGAATCAACTAGGGTTTTAAGGGGATCTGTGACAGGTTTTAACATTTTATCAAGTGACAAGTTCATAGAATGTTCCTGGTTTTTCATTTGTTTTATTTTATTTTTTATGGAGTCAACAGATTTAATTAATTCTATTTTAATATTTTTTTCCATGTTGTAATACGTGTTATCACAACTGTATTAAGCTAAAGAACAAATTATACTGAATTTGATTTTGCATGTTAATTACTTATATGCAGATTATATAAACAGTCAGTCAAATTTAAAAAACATATCAAAATTCTGTCTGTACCTTCCGTTATTTAATGACGATTCTTTATTAATAAGTAGAAAATTATAAGGTTTACTCCAAACAGTTTGACATAGATTTCTGAACTCTTTCCACTGTAAATCAGAACTAACATGTTCTTCATAAATATGTTTTAAATTCACATCATCTTGTTTGAATATAATAAGAAAATTCACATTGTCACGTAATAGTTGTTTCGGAATTTTCGAATAGGTTTGAGATAAATAGAAACAATCTATTTGTTTGTGTCTACCCATGCAGAAATAATTGCGGATGTTTATTTGATTTTCACATGCAACATCATCAAATATAAATACAGAATTTGGTAAAGCTTCAGTCGGAGAAATGACCTCTTTATCATCGTTAAACTTATAGAAGTTCATCTGTGGCACTCTTCTTAATACTTGACTCAAGAAACGATATTTTGGTTGAAATGAAGTTTTGGAATAAAGATAAAGATTTTTAAATTTTAGACCATTTTCATGTAACAACAAACTAATCATAACGTTAGTTTTACCACAGTTCGATGGACCACACATTATACATCGAATCGTATTCGGTAATAAAGGACTATGTCTGATCTGATGAGAAGATTCATTTAAATCTATATTGTTAACTTTCAAAGATATGGGTTGCTTGATCAACTTCATTTTGACAATTACTGTAATGAGTGTCTAACACACATATTTATAGGCAGCTATACCTTTAACACTAAATAAGATATATTACATAAAACATAAATACAGGATTTAACATGTTTGTACAGGTTTAAGTTAATTTTTGTATTCTTGTATTAGGTATACAATATTATATTTTTAATACCTAATTGATTTAATTTCATGTTGCGTCATATTTCATTATGCTGCCATAGTTAGTCGAAGCAGGACCTGTTTTTAGCGGAGAAATTAAGATTTATTGGTAAGATTTTAATGTTAAAAAAATTATCACTATATTTTTAATGTGGATAATTAGATATCTCACTTAAGTTTTATTTTCAGAATCATGTCATACAGCCCCAGCATTCTCGACATTGGAGAACTTAACAGATTTGTATTTGATAATGTTGATTCTCAAATCACAACTCCTTTGAACGAAGTTGATCAGACAGAAATACAAGAGGTTAGTAAATATTACTTTATTCATCATCGTTAGACAAAGTTCAGACAAAGAAACTGCAACAAAGACTTGTTCAAAAAAAATTGAATAGCCCTTTCCACTTTTCAAGGGTAGGCGCGTGTTGAACTTTGATGGAGCCTATTAGTCCGTCAGCATAGTTATGAACTTTTCCAGAATACCCAAGATAGTATTCAGCTTCTAATGTATTTATTTATGTTACTATTTTAGATGTTAATAAATTGTATTTTCACAGCCCAATTCTGAGGATCTACAGGAGGCAAACTACAAAACGTATTTTGAAAACTTAACAAATCAGCAACATTTACCAGTTAAAGACTCTCAGAATAATCAAGCTCAAAGTTCCAAGAAGACTAAAAAAAGGAAGCTGGACACATCTTTGTCTTATGTTATTCGAAATGAACCAGGAAAATGTCATCATTTGATAAATATAGCAGTTTATGATCTGAGTGGTGACACTGTTCCAGG